GAGGAGCAGGGAGTGCTGGAAATGCTCCCACCATTGACCCAAGGACCCAACAGAGGAGCAGGGAGTGCTGGAAATGCTCCCACCATTGACCCAAGGACCCAACAGAGGAGCAGGGAGTGCTGGAAATGCTCCCACCATTGACCCAAGGACCCAACAGAGGAGCAGGGAGTGCTGGAAATGCTCCCACCATTGACCCAAGGACCCAACAGAGGAGCAGGGAGTGCTGGAAATGCTCCCACCATTGACCCAAGGACCCAACAGAGGAGCAGGGAGTGCTGGAAATGCTCCCACCATTGACCCAAGGACTCACCAGAGGAGCAGGGCATGTTGGAAGCTCTCTCATCATTGACCCAAGGACCCAACGGAGGAGCAGGGAGTGCTGGAAATGCTCCCACCATTGACCCAAGCACCCAACGGAGGAGTAGGGCATGTTGGAAGCTCTCTCACATTGATTCAAGGACCCAATGGAGAATCAGGGTGTGCTGGAAATGCTCTGACCATTGACCCAAAGACTCAACAGAGGAGCAGGGCATATTGGAAACTCTCTCATCGTTGACCCAAGGACCCAACAGAGGAGCAGGGAGTGCTGGAAATGCTCCCACCATTGACCCAAGATCCCAATGGAGGAGCAGGACATGTTGGAAGCTCTCCCATCATTGACCCAATGATCCAAAGGAGGAGCTAGGAATGTTGGAAACGCTTCCTCCTCCACGTGCAAGACCCTCCTGAGAAGGATGCTTGGTGGATGTCGCTCAGCAGACTCATTCCCAACTCCTGCCCCCATTCCCCTGGCGTTGCCCCCTCCCTGCCCACCTTCACCACCAGGATGTACCCCTCCGGGGGCAGGAGGCTGATCTCGTTCTTCAGCTGCAGCACGGCTCGCACCAGGTCCATGACGTTGCTGTACACCGTGTCATCTGTGCGGTCCAGGTTGGCAGTGGGGGCCGGGTGGATGGGCTGCCGGGGAACGGGGACATGATGAGATCAGAGGGACTGAGGGGGCAAGGAGAGAAAGACCAACACTGATGGGGAGCCCTGGCCAGACCCATCCACCTCCCACCCATGACCCTGATGCTGCTGGGTCTATCTCACCCCTTCAGGGCCTGGGGAAAAGTCCCATCCTGCAGATGCAGAGGGATAATGGAGGTGGAGGAGGAGGAATGAGACTGTGGAGATGAAGGAAGAGGACCAACACCGTGATGGCCCTATTCGTGGAGGTCTTACCTGTGCCCCAAGTCTTGGAGGCTTCTGGGGGGGCCCCGTGAACTCCGCTACACCGTCAGTAAGGGAAAGGAAGGACAGTCACTCCAGCTGCTCCCACGGACACGTGGGAACGTTGCAAGACCCATGGGACCCATGCCATGTCCTGCACAACCCCGGAGCAGCCTGTCCCACTGTGGCTGGACACCCTGACCCACCCCAGCCATGCCACCTCCCCACAGGGTCAGACCCCCTTGGACCCTCATGCCCAGGGCAGGCAAAGCTGCTCCCCACGATCTGGGATTTCTTTCACGGAGGATCCCAAAGCTGGGCAGGATACGGCCCCGAGGCTCCTCGCGGCTCAGCGCAGGGCTCCCCGCTTGCAGCCCCAAAGCGGGTGCTCCCGGGTGGGGGTCACGGGCAGCCCCACACCCCGTGGAGCTGTGGGCACTCACTGTAATCCGTCTCCTTCTCCGGCAGCAGCTGTGGAGGGAAGAAACAGCAAATGAGAGGCACAAAATCCTGGCTGGAGGCAACGAAGAAGCAGAAGGCATCACCACCCTCTCCCAGGGCTTCTGGTGGGGAGCTCTGGAGCACCAGTATCTCATCCCATTAACATTTTCAGATTATTTTTCCCAGTGCAAGGGGCACATATATAAATATTTATCACCCATTCATGCCAAAGCAAAGGAGCATCTCCAGACAACCCCACGAGAAGACCCCTCTGCACCCAAATACACCCCAACCTGGACTCTCCAGGGCCAGCACCACTCACCGGAGGAGCGTTGTTGTTCATAAACACCATCGGGTCCTGCAAAGGGGGAGAAGCTTTGTGAGAGGCAGGGAAAAAGGAAAAAGAAAGGAAAACCAGGGATTTTCTTGTTTTCTGAGAGACTCATGAAACACATCACAGGGAGAAGCTTTGTGAGAGGCACGGAAAAAAAGGAAAAAGAAGGGAAAAACAGGGATTTTCTCATTTTCTGAGAGACTCATGAAACACATCACAGGGATGCATCTCCACAGGGTCCAGGAAGGGGAAGGGGCTTCATGCCCATCGCTGGTCCCATCCCATCCCATCCCATCCCATCCCATCCCATCCCATCCCATCCCATCCCATCATCCTTATTCGCTCCC